CTAACTATATGCTTTAGCAAAAAGGAAAGTTTGAAGCCTAATCTTAAAAGTAGAGATAGTTCCAGGCTGGTTCCCTTTTGTTTTCAGTTTCTTTCCATTTTTCAGTTTTTCATGAGATAGCAGGTGTTTTTGGTCCACACTAACACGACAGCATCACGTCGTTATAGCAGATTTATTATGTGCACAGAAATGGATGTAAACTGCAGTTACCAGATTAGAACTCTTCATTTTTGTTTATTAGTCTTTGGTGCTTTTAGTTAGGTTCCTGCTTGGTCAGCATTAAAATCAAGCTAATCTTCTATCTCTGCAGTGGAGACGGCGCCTCCGAATTTCCTTCAAAGACTTCAGAGCTTAACAGTGAGACAAGGCAGCCAGGTGAGGCTGGATGTGCGAGTGGCAGGAATCCCAACACCAGCCGTTAAGTTCTACAGAGAAGGGGCCGAGATTCAGAGCTCGGCCGACTTCAGGATCCTCCAAGATGGAGACCTGTACACTTTGTTGATCGCTGAAGCCTTCCCAGAGGACTCTGGGACATATTCTGTGACTGCCACCAACAACAGCGGACGGGCCACCTCCACTGCTGAATTGCTAGTTCAGGGTAAGCACTTCAAATACATCAAGTTTGGTCAAAATATTTTATGTCGACACGCATAATCCTCATAATAATTGAATACTCCAGTTTTTAATATGTGTTAAATGACAATTTACCATAATTAATCAACCTAAACTTTTTTATTGTTGTTGCAGGTGAGGAAGCTGTGCCAGCTAAGAAACTGAAGACTGTTTCCACATCCCAAATAACGGCTTCCCAGAGCAGAGTACAGAGGGTGAGATGACTGAGTGTTCTAGGGAACAATCATCTGAGTTTAAGTTGATTAAAGTAGAAAGCCTAGTTCTTAAATAGTAAATATTTATTTCCCAGTATTATTCAGGTACTTCTGCCTGATTGTCGACAGTATTGATCATAAAGTCTGCTAAAAAAATACATGAAAAAGTAACAGAGTGTGGAATTAGTGTTTAAAGGTCATGTTCATATCTCGTTTCTTAATAAATATTACATTTTCCCCTTTTGAAGGTGGAGACTAGTTTCCAGGCCTCCACTAAGAGGGAGATCCATGTAGGAGAAGGAATGATCACTCAGCATTTGGCTCACAAAACCCCCCCACGGGTTCCTCCAAAGCCGACCTCCAAGTCCCCGCCGTCCTATGTTTCCAAGGTGACGGCAGGACGTCAGCAGTCCCCTTCGCCTGTCAGACATGTGAAAGGGCCAACACCGACACCTGTCAGGTATGCAAGTGTGATCTCAGTGCAGGCAGGTGGTCATCTAAATTGACTACATGAACTGACTGACCTACGTGTTGTTGTCTACAGACCAGTGTCTCCATCCACCAAACTGTCTGTTTCTCCCATCCGACCAGTCAAGTCTCCCATCATGACCAGGAAACAGGTCAGAGCAGCTATCTGGAGTCTACTTTCACTTGATGCTGTAACAGTGACTTAGTGTACATGTCTCGGTTTGTTTGGCTTTT